GCGTTGTACAAAAAAATTGTTCAGACAACAATTGTTTCGGACAATGGGGGCAATCTTTCTGAGAAATCCGATTTGACCTTAAGATTAATTGTCAAGGTCAAAGTCATTTTTTGAATAGGAACCCATATTTTTGATCCCGGATTCGGAAAGAGCGGAAAATTCTACGTTTAGATAACGTATTATGTGTGGGGTGCGGTTAACCCCCCCCCCCCCGCCTAAGGTCATGTAGGGGTCAAATTTATGATTTTCTTCATCTATGCACAGGGATGATCGGGCAAGGGTAAGGTTAATTGTAATAACCCAATAACTCCAATACCCAATAACTCGATAACCCCAATAACCCCAATAACCAAGAGATATTTTGAATAAGGACCCCCATTTTTTATCCCGGATTTGAAAAGAGCGGGAATTTCTACGTTTAAATAAAATATTATGTTGGGGGGAGCGGTTCACCCCCCCATCCCACCTGAGCAAGGGTGAGGTTAATAAGGTATTGATTACCCAGCCAATGAAGGCAAGGTATTGATTACCCAGCTAGTGAAGGCAAGGTGGGAATGCTCAGCCGATCAAGACAAGACGTTGACTACAGATAGAGTTATGGTCAAGATTGTAACACAAACGTTTATCTCATAAGATGTTCAAAAATACCCCCGTTCAAATTTATGCAGTGTTGAATTCTACGTTCAAAATTTTCAACTGTGGACATCAAAACGTGACGCGGAATAGCTCTGCAAGCTTGTATGTATTGCATGTATGCGTTGCATCATATCTTGCCGTGTTGTGGTTGCTGTGCATAAACAACATTTTTCAAATAGCCCCATAAAAAGAAATCTGGACTTGTCAGATCTGGTGATCTTGGACACCACTCAGTAATGTCACTACCAATGCCTATCCATCGTCTTCGGTATCGTTGGTTCAAGAAGTGACGAACCATTAGTGACACGGTGCACCGTCCTGTTGAAGCCATAATCGTCTTCTGGTTTCCAAGTCCACATCTTCCAATAATTCTGGTAATTCATTCTGCAGGAAATCAAGATATGCTGCGCCGTTGACATTCCCATCGAAAAAATAAGGTCCTATCAGATAACCATTTATTATACCGCACCAAAATACGAGGCTCCATCTATGCTGATTATCAACATGACGTACCCAATGAGGGTTCTGGATAGACCGATAATGACTATTATGGCGATTGAGTTGCCCATTACCATGAAATGTAGCTTCGTCCGAAAACATGACGTATCTGAAAAATTGAGGATCTTCACGAATCCTTGCTAGTGCTCAATTGCAGAATTCGTTGATCTTGGGATTTCATTACGTCCTTGAATTTCATGCAACGAGATATGATGATTAAAATCAACCATTGCCAAAACGACAAGAATTCGTGGATCATCGTTGTTCGGCATCATAATGCGACGACGATTTCTGCGTATTCGGGGTCGACGTCTCTCTCTTTGCTCGATGATTCGGATTCTCACGTGGTTCGGGTAGAGAAGCCTCCCTGGGTAATTTTGGCGGTAATACCTTGCCGCAGCACGATATCGGCCTTGACATGCCCCGAGAGACAACAGAATATCAACAATTTCGTTTCTCGAATAATCCGGCATATTCCCTCCTTTTAAGTCGACTAAGAAAATTACACTTGAACTATCCTGAGAAGGACTGTTCGCGAATCACTATTGTCATAAACAATACTAAAAAAGTGTTATTAAACAATTTAGTTGAAACTTTGTAGGCTTGTCCGGAATCACACCAGAAAAAAGAATGGAAATAACATGTTATCCCACAAAATGGAAAATGACACTTCTCATGAAGGCTTTGAATATATGAAGTCGACTTTGAAAATCAACCTGAAGTTTAAGCTCAAGGTCACTGTTGTTTGACCCTACAATTTTTTTGGGATATTGGGGTTATTGAATTATTGGGGTTATCGGGTTATTGGGTTATTTGGGTTATCGAGTTATTGGGTTATTACAATTAACCTTACTCTTGCCCGATCATCCCTGTGCATAGATGAAGAAAATTTGACCCCTACATGACCTTAGGCGGGGGGGGGGGGGGGGTTAACCGCACCCCACACATAATACATTATTTAAACGTAGAATTTTCCGCTCTTTTCGAATCCGGGATCAAAAATATGGGTTCCTATTCAAAAAATGACTTTGACCTTCAAATGACCTTGAAAATAAATCTCAAGGTCAAATCGGATTTCACAGAAAGGTTGCCCCCATTGTCCCAAACAACTGTTGTCTGAACAAATTTTTTGTACAACGCCAACCGTCGAAAATTTCGGGGTAGTTCCTTTATAATAGGACACCCTATATATGATATATGAATTATCAACTCACCTTGTGCACGTGTACAACCGCTCATCAACGTGTTCCATCTTTCTGCACAGAAACAAAGCCAATCAGGATTGACGATTTGGATTTTTTTTCTCCCTTTTTTGTTTCCCTTACTTTTACTGTTCCTGGGTGGATAACAACTAAGTACGCAGTTTTTTCTGTGAGATCCTATCATGAAAATCAAACGTAATCCTTCCACTCTTTGACAAACTTTGATCATTGTAGTAATAATAGGAATGTTACCTGCGATACCAGTATTTTCTTTCCTGCCTTTTTCCATTCAAATCAGTTTTAAAGTCCAATGTATAGTACCTGATAATTAGCGAATTTTCCTCTGTCATGAGTCCATGATAAGTGTCAGGCAGTAAATACTTATTAGCAGTTGGCAGAACAGCCAACAGTTGTTCAGACGGTAAAAATGGAGTTCCCATGTCAAACTCCAATGTCAAATCTTTAAAATTTTTGATATCCGAGATGAATGAGGCATAGTGATGTGGGCAGTACCACGACCAACTGCAGCATCCATTGTAATAATAATGGAGATTCCATTGGATAGCTTTGATGTAACCTTCCGCCTGGAAGCGCATTTTTTTCTGAAAAAAGAAAAATTCATTTATAAATAAAAATCGAAGTCAATTGTTTGATGAACAGTTTGATCATTTTTTAAAATACGTACGCATCAACTTTTTCATACTCCATCTTATTCATGTAGTAATCACGTTTATACTGCGTGAACTCCAGCTGCATGTCGGTATCGTTTTCAGAACCGTCCTCGTCGTCATCTTTAGACTGCCAACTAATTCAAATGAATGTTTAGAATGAAATTAGTGAGTGGTGATCGATGATAAAATGAAATTATCTCGTTTTCAGTAGCCATTATCAAAGTTTGCAAATTCTTGTTGTTAGTTCTTCTAGAAGACGCATTTTCATATGAAGAACTCTTGCTGTTTCTATCACTTTCGTGCATGCGTCGACCTATTTTCGCCTCAAAAAACTTCAGATCAGTATAAATCTCATCAAACTATTGTATGTCATGTTCACTAAGTCTGTCCATGAACTTTTCAAAAGTTAAATGTCCCTGCTTCATTTATGATTTAATAACTTGAAAAAATGTTATTATCAATTTAAGTTATTACTTGCGTTAGGAAAATCAATTTAAAATGGGTAATACTTCCATATAAGCGTTATATAAAATTGGCAGTATATCACTTTCAATATGTAAATGTGGTAAATGAGGAATAATATCATTTACTACTAAAAATCCCATTAAAATCCAGTCATCAATGATTTTTTCTACATCGAACTTGAAGTTGAGCTTATTTTTGACTGAGGAAAACTCATGCTCTAGATTTTCCCTCATTAAAGACAAGTGTAAAAGCAAAAATTGGTCTCCTTATGAGATAAAATTTTCTTCTATTGCTTGCTAAACTTTACTTCCTCACGAAAGAATGAGAAGTGAAGTTCATGCGATCATAAACCTATTATGAGATTGCATCTAATCCATATTAACAATGGCGAGTATTTCCTTCATAATTTGGTTGAAATTTCATGTACTTAATGTAGTCCATTATTTTATGTTCTCGTTCACCAGATACCTGCAAACAAATTAAAAAAGAGCAAAATTATCAAAAAATCTCTCCAAAATTCATTTTAACAATTAGAATTACCTTTGATCCACTGAGGATAACTTTACACTTTTGCCACAACTTATCAGTAAAAATCTTGTATGTAATAAAATACTTTAACTGTTCATTAAGCTTCGGCATGAATACTGTTCGAGGGGTAATACAATTACCCTGCTAAAACAAGGACATTCAACCGGATTGAAAATCCAATCCGCTTTGAGTCTATTTCTGAATCCTACAAATGACAATTGAAATTCATTAAAGTACAATGAATCTTAATTCAGTTTAATGTTTTTTTATCCCGAAATTAATTATACACATTCTAATAATTAATTTCAGGATAGAAAAATATTAAAGGGGATTCTGATCGATTCCAGTTTGATAAATTTAAATTGTCATTTGTAAGATTCAGAAATAGACTCGAAGCGGATTGGATTTTCCATCCGGTTGAATGTCCTTGTTTTAGCAGGGTAGAATCAAATCTAGCTTCTTAAGGAATCTCTTGATCCTTGGCCCTTGCCTTAGCCTTTTGTATTTCAGCATCATTGGCAGCCTTAAAACGGCGACCTCTATACTCTACTGATTAATTTTGGCACGAGGTGCCACACCGTCTACAGCCAGAAAAAAAGTATAACATCGTCGGAAATCGATACGATATGGCAACGTTGCATAGAAAAACTACTGAGTTCTGTCATACCGATCACTGGTGAAACTCTTAATCGAATAAACCTTATGATACGCATTGCCACATGCAGCGGCGCATGCGCGGTGCGTAAATCGCGCAGACAATAGGTTCGCCGTATTTTTTTACATCTTTTTTATAAACTATTAATCATTAGCAATTTTCGTTAACTGTGCAAATTAAATCTACTCATGGGCAATTTTTTAGAACTTTAGGAAGTCAAAAATAATACATAATAAAAAAGATATTGAAGTTTGAAGTTCCATGTGGTAAAATGATTATTATTAATTTATTACGTAGAAACTAGAGTTGATAAATCTAATGACATAATTAAGTTGGGCAATGAAAAACCTTTCGAATTATATATTTTTATTTTTATTTACTTTAATTATGCAGGCTGGACAGGGTGGAGTGATATTTAGGATTTGGAAATAAATCTGAATCCTGAATGTCTAGAACGTCTAAATGGACAGAATATCTATAATTAATATGGTAAAATGATATAATTACTAAACAATTTTACTATCAAGAATATTGGATGAAGTACAGTACAAATTAAATAGTGTAATAGAATTTATTACTACGATCGAGTTAAGATCACTTGTTGCTAACTTATAAAACTTTTCTAACTTTCCGGAAATCATTGTCATTGCCATAAAATAAAATTGTTTTTATTTTTGAGTAAAGTTGATTGATAAGTAGGATAATAACAAAAAAATATACTGCAAATAGTTTGTATCCTTAATAATCCGAGTCGTTTCTTCTGAAATTATTTCAACGATGAGTTCAATCGGAACTGGGGTAAATTTTTCTTTATTTAGCATTATAATTAGAACAATTTATTATCTATAATGTTCTGTTAAATAATTTGAGCATATTTCAGTATGATTTATCAGCATCGCAATTTTCACCTGATGGAAGAGTCTTTCAGGTGGAATACGCTCAAAAAGCAGTTGAAAACAGTGGGTGAGTTATATCATTTTTATAATAAATTATTTTTATAAAATAATGCAATAATTTGTGGTTTCAAATGAGAGTTTTTAAGTATAATCTTTAAGATCCATTATTTTAAATACAGAATTTTATCACCTACGTGACATAAATGAAGACCCTACATACTTGGCTCTTGATTTTTTGGAGAAAATAAATAGTTGTTTTTGGACCGTGGAATCCTATTTTGATAACAAATATTTGTATAAAATATGCTTTGAATAAGCATGTCATAACTAATTATTAGCAGATGATGGGATTGTACATTTAATCTTAAAATATATAATTAATGGTACAAAATACATGTCCAGATAAGAACAAATTTCTCTCGTTGTTATGTTTATTATTTGTCTTGATTACTTGAGTTGTAAAAAATTGAATCAACACTTTGATTACTATTGGTTACTTAATTTAGATTTCATGAAAAGTAAAATCTGATGATATTTAAAATAATTTACATCAATCAAGTAAGATATTACAATACGCTTCAAAAATCAGAAATTTTCCTATATATATGTATATATATACACGTATTTCCCTACGGTTACATAGATTTTATTAATTTCATCTATACTGCGATTCAACTTTACTGTGATCATATTATTTATGAGCTATGAAAAAATAACTTTAGGAATATTTTTTAGTAATTAAGAATGTAGTTTGTCGTAAATGTTGAGTATAATCATGAGTTCAAAGCATTTAATTTTTAAATAAAACCATTCATGAGTTAGAAAATGAAAATATATTAGATTTATACCATATTTTGTTAACATGGATCTTATCAAAAGAATTTTAGATATAATTCCTTTTGTAGGATAAAACAAAATATAATCTATATTTAAATGTCAAAAAAATTTATAAAAAAATTCAATTCATATTGCAATTAAAAATATTTTTTGTTGCAATATCCTAACGGGATACTTATTTAATTAACATTTAAATTATGACTGTTGCATATTGCTTTATAGATGATAATTAATATATTCACCATATATACATAAAAGAAATTGTTTATTGCATATAAATTGTTACAGATTTTATTGTATTTTTGCATGAATTAAAATTGATCGTTTATATTAATAATTAAAGTATACAATGAGCTGAATAATTTTGTGAACATTACAAAAATCAATAAAGCTGATTTTGTTTAATAGGTTGAATAATATTTGAATAAATTTAAACATAATTAGTTATATGAAAGGAGGTAGTTCAATAATCAAAATAATCTTTCCGAGTTAGATTCTTTTGAGCCGCTATTTTACATTACAGCATTCTATTTTCATAAGTCTTGATAATAATGTTGCAGTGACGTACATCAATTTGAAGGCTTTGATTGATAACTAATAATTTCATGATCTTTTTTTAAATTTTCTTTATATTTCTTGATATTAAAGCACTTAGCCCAAAGCAGATAATGAATATAATTGATTGTATCTAAAAAATATACAATACTCTTATGACAATACCATCAATGCAACAGAAATATGGTTTGAAATTCTTTTATAATATAAAAAAATATATAAAAAATTATATAATACTTTTGGTGGTATCTTTGAGTGTATCCATAATTATAAATTTATGCCTACGATTATTTAAAAAGCCTACAATTATTTAAAAAGCCTACGAGTTGTTCTTCATTGCAGAAGCTGAAGGTTAAGTATAGCTAACTCTTTCGCGGCATAAGTTTCGCCAGGCATTATGAAATCACGTACGTCCAATACGTACTCTATTCTCATAGAGCAAGCTATTACTAAGCTAATTAACGAAAGAGTCGTCTTTAATACACCTTTTCCCTCCTAAGTAAGTTTTTTCACATTCCTACTTATTGGATTGTAGTGAACGATGCAATCGTGCAAAATGAGACAATATATTGCAGGTCCTTCAGAAATATTTTTCTAATTTCAAACTCCAAAAAAACTTCACATGTCACGCTGAGTGATTGATTGTTCCAAACAAAATGAGTCGTTGAAGCATTCTCCAGTAGATGTAAGATTGGAAGTCTTTTCAGCATTGATTTGGCATTCTTACCGTAACATATGTTTTGAAAATTATCATACATATCGCACGACATTGTGAATTGGTTTTTAGTGAAATCAATGTTAAGATTGTTATATGAATGGTATTGAGAGTTGAGGTAGAGTTGTATATTTCTGATGATTAAGTCGACTAGCGTTAAAGTTTGATTTATTTCCACAATTAATTTGAAAGTTAAAATGATGCAACGGGGTTTATTCAATTGGTTTACTGTTTTGATTATTTAGACGTGTTTTGTATTCGCAGGCAGGGCGAGATATTCTAGTGTAACGTTTGATACTTATCCTACGTTATTGAAATAAATAGTTCGGACTCTAAGATATATTCATAATAGCATTTCCGAGAATAAGCAAGAAGTTGGCGCTTGAAAGTTCTTTGAGTTTTGATATTGCTACAATCAACGAATAACGAACACAGTGTATCCAAGTAGTTTATTTATTTATTTATTTATCCACGTAGAAAGAGAGATTAGATTAAATTAGATTAAACCATTTTTATTTAGCCATGGGGTATAACCCCGTAGGCTTCAAGAAAAATAAAGTGCTATTACAGTAATAAAACAATAAAACAATAAAATAACAATAATAATAAGCAATAACAAACATTAATAAACCAATAATACGCAATAATAATAAAACAATAAAACACATTAGATAACATACGCTATACATTGGCATTATAACAAGAAACATAACAGGATAAAACGCAATAAGAAAGGCAATAAGAAATGACGGAGTGTGAGACAATAATATCACACTGATAAAATAATATAAATAACATTATAAAACTGGAGATACACAGGTCGCAGAGTACAGGAAAAAAAAATAAGTCGCACAAAAGAAGAGGGAAGAGAGTCGTGTGAGCAAAAAGAATAGGTGGGCCTCAAAAAAAAAAGAAATGACCTCAAGGAGGCAGATAAATCTAGTTGGTAACGACAATTAATGCGAGTCATGTGACAACTACGTTGGAAGGATAGAGGGAGGAGAAGAGGGAGAAGAAGAAATAAGATCTAGACAGAAGACGGAGGAAGATTCAATATTCCAGGATTTATGAGTTAAAGGGAGGGAAATTATAGGAGAGGTAGGAACCAGGTGTCTGCAGGTAATTTGGACTGTCAGTGAAGGCTGAGACGTTGAAAGGAAGGGTTACTGTGGGTAATTTTCGAAGGGATGAGAGATTTGTTAAAGATTCGGACGTGACCCTCTGGATGAAGTGCTGATGTTCCAGGACCGTAAAGAGGGAGAACAGCCATGACTTAAGCTCCTTATATCTAGAAATGTCAAAGTCAGTTATGGATAGTTGATTTAGCAGGTACATGGAACGAACTGTAAAAGAGAGGTTCCAAGTCGAAGTACGTGGAGCTGGATATGAGAAAGCTGAAGGTGGATTACGAGAGGAACGTTTTATATAAAGACAGTTTGGAGATTGGAAATAGGTAGTAAGGTATGAGGGATGAGAAAGACAAACTGTTTTGTATGCAAGAAGGATTAGTGAAATATTTCTGTGAGATTCGAGGGAGAGCCATCCAAGACGTAGTCTATGAAAGGTGACGTGGGATTCAATGTCAGAAGATGGGATGAAAGGGATGTAACCAGTAGCAAAACGGATGCAAGCATTGTGAGCAACTTGTAGAGCAAGCCGCCTGGTTTTATCCAGGTTGTGGAAAGCAATAGAAGCATAAGTGAAGTGAGGGAAGATGAGGGATTTGATTAGGTAGGATCGGGTGGAAATCGAAAGGGACTTCCTGTAAAACTTAAGTGAATTTAGATTCCTGTAGATCTTTTTGAGCGTATTGTTGATGTGAGTTTTCCAATGTAATGATGAGGATATCGTGAGTCCAAGGCTTTTTACGGATGAGGAAAATGAAATGATGATATTATTGATGGAGATTTGGGGGAGGGAGTCAACATGTAAAGAGGATAAGTAAAGCTCCGATGACAATGACCGATAACAATGACACGGGTCTTGGAAACATTTAGTTGCAGACCATTTGAGGTAGCCCAGTCCGCGACTGCCTGGGCGTCAAGTTGAACTTTGGTGAGGGCTGGAATAATTTCAGAGGAAGAGCAATGATGATAAATTTGGGTGCCGTCAGCATATATCATATGCTGACAGAAATGCAGTACCTTGGGAAGATCATTAATGAAAATGGAAAATAGAAGAGGTCCAAGAACGCTGCCCTGGGGCACTCCTGAACAGACACGCAGCCAGTCAGACAATGAGCCCGCCCGATCAACCACAGCCTGCGACCGACCCGACAGATAGCTAAAAAACCAGCGAAGAGCTGAGTCAGCCAGGTTACAGGCCCGCAGCTTCCGGAAAAGTAGGTTATGGGGAATACTGTCAAACGCTTTGGAGAAATCAAACAAGACAAGGATCGTGACCTGACGCATCTCAACAGCACGTCTGACATCCTCCAACAGACCAATCAGAGCGGTCTCAGTTGAGTGCCCCCTGCGAAATCCAGCCTGTCTTGGGTCAAAGAAATTGCTGGCCTCCAGATAGTTCAAGAGTTGCTTGTGAAGTAAGCGCTCCAGGACCTTAGAGGACTCGCCAAGCTGAGCTATTGGCCGTGTATCAGAGGGAGACTGGGGTGATTTAGTTTTTGAGAGAGGGCAGATGATAGTGCGTTTCCAGGCTGAGGGAAAGACTGAAGTGAGGATGGATTGGTTTATTATAAGTGTGAGGAAGAGAGCTAGAGAACTAAGACCAAGTTTTAGCATTCGGGAGGAGAGGCCATCGTTTCCTTTGCCTTTGGAGCGAAGGGCAAAGACCTCGAACTCAACTTCACGCTGGGAGACAGTAGAGAAGGTGAAGGATTGTGGAAAATGAGCGGAAATCGGTTCGAATATAGGAGCATTAATTATGTCATCGAAAGCTTGTTTAGTTAGAGCAGGGTGACGAGAGGCAACTGAAACGTAGTAAACGTTCAGAATGTCAGG